GATTTTATCCAAAGTTGTATGTTTTAATCTACTTCTTTTGCTATGATTATATTTCCTGCCTTCGAAAAAATCCTTTCGCAAGGATCCGATGTGGCACGACAGGACAAAATTAATTTTGCTAATTTCGCGAGGTTGGGATACTTAGATGTATTATTTTTCCAATACTGTAATGGATCTGAATATCTATTAACATAACCTTTTCCTATATAATTTTCGAATTCGTTTATCGGGTCAAAATGATACGCACTAATGAAATTATGTCGAGTTACTTCATTGTTAAAAAACGTCCACAGTGATGTGTTATTAAGATTAGGTGTAGTGTTGTTTATCTCTAGTGAAATACCGTCAGTAACTGCTACATTTGAAGTTTGATCTATTACTAACACCTTTGTTTTTTCAGCATTTTCGCTGAATATAAATCCTAGTACTTTAAAACGCGGGTCGAGAATTGCCGCCAATATGTAGTATACAGGGTGAGTCACGAGAAGCAGAACACCTGAATACCTTGTTGGATTTAAAGATATGAAATGTAGGTACATCAGAATTAGAATGGTTTCGAAAGTAAGCTGCTTTTGATATATTCAGTACATTTTGCATTTGAAGTTGCGTTTTAACTTGTCTTTCGCTGAACTATTATATTATATTAGATTTAAAATAAGATGCCATACAGCGACATTTACGATGGATAGTTACTAAATTGGGAATGGATCCTAAAGATATTTTTACAACTAAATTTAAAGTATGTACGAAACATGAAACACTACATAAGTACAGACATCCAAATTTCTTGCGGCTGCAAGCATATTTGCTGTGTTATCTGTCACCACACATTTTACCTTCCCTTGTAAATTCCATTGACAAAATATATTTTTTAAAGTTTGAAATAATGCATGACTTATGTGGCTTTCGCTAATCTTTTCGTTTTGGAGTGTATAAGTTTTAAACTCGAAATCCTTGTTAAATAAATGACACGTAACAGATATGTATAATATTATCTACGTTAATGCTGGTCCATGTGTCACATGTTTCCGATGTTTGCATCAAACTCCTCTTGTATAATATGCCTTTTTTGAATTTACGCATCTTCCACTAATGTTTCTAATGTCCTTCTGCATGGTACAGCGTGTCTTGGGTCGAGATACTTGAGTAAAGCTCGAAAACCTTTATCTTCAACAATAACGAATGGTTGTAGATCAAATACAATTAAATCTACAAACATTTTGTTCAGTTTTAACTTTCTTTCGTTATTATATAAAAACATATCAAGTTTACTGTTATAACTGAATATAGAAATAATGTGAATGTACAATATACAGTGTAGGTCACCAGACATTACCACTTCGGTTTGTATGGCTGTTATTATTCGTAGCGAAAAATATGACATGGCCAGCAAACCTAATTGATGGTTAAAGAGGACTTGTCAATGCACGAGTTCTTATCACGCTATAAGAGGTGCTGAAAACAGTACCCAAGTCAGCAAATTAGCTCATAGAAATGTATTCTGATTGGTAAATTTAGGGGAGAGCGCGGTAATTCCGACTACATAAGCAAGAAATGTGTTAGGACAGCAAGGGAACGATTTTATGATACGTGACTTTATTTCAGTAAACCGTTATTTTTAATTTAGCAGACCGGTCTGCAGCCAACATGCGGCACCTAGACTTTCTAAATATTAAAGAATAGGCTATTGTTCAGCTAGCAAGGCAAGATACCATAAAGTCATCTCCAAAAGGGTCTTCGAAAAAAACCGATGTAATTACCGAGGCCACTTGGTAAACTCCCTTCCGAGCAAGACGGAAGGTCAGCGTTGACCTGGCTGGATTTTCCCCCTTGTTGCCAAACTTCGCTTCGCAACGACCATCATCGTCACCCCCGCTCCAAGGACATTTCGCGCTCCAGGCGCAATGGAAGGGGGTGATACGGGGTTGGTCAATTAGCATTTTTAAGAACCTCCCTTTGCATCCCTTCCTCAAATTTGGGAGAATTTGGAGAAGGGACAAGCAAATAAAAGAGAGTGGAATCAGCGAGATTCAACAACTATTAGTCCAGTATCAGTTAGAAACTATTAGTCCAATATCAGTTAGAGACCATTAGTGCAATATCATTCAGAGACTATTAGCTCAGTATCAGTCAGACTATTAGTTCAAGATCTGTCAGTTTCGAACATTAAGAGTTAACTAGTAGGATCTCGAATCAGCGAGATCCATTCATTAGCAGTCTCAACCACTAAAATCAGTCATCTGAACATTGTTAGTTAGTGTAAATTGAGAACGATAAACTCATTAGACGGCACCAAGTGCAATATTCGTAAGTACGCGGAAAGTGAGTGTCCAAGTGCTTAACAAAATGCTATAAAATTTGAACAAGTTACACATTGGTTAATTTTCTGATATTAATTGATAACTTGAAGTGTCTAGTTTGTATTAGTATGGCCGAGAAGCCATTAATTTACGTTGTAATAAAATTGGAAACAAAAGACTAAAAAAGGTCATTACCCCACTAGATAATTTCGGCCATCGTTTTTCTTTATAAAAGAGGTAAGAAAACTGTTAAATTAATAAAAAATTTTATTATTTTTTGTAGTTAGCAGTGATTTCACTTTTTTTGTTGTTACGGATTACGCTTTTGTTAGGACAGCAAGGGAACGATTTTATGATATGTGACTTTATTTCAGTAAACCGTTATTTTTAATTTAGCAGACCGGTCTGCAGCCAACATGCGGCACCTAGACTTTCTAAATATTAAAGAATAGGCTATTGTTCAGCTAGCAAGGCAAGATACCATAAAGTCATCTCCAAAAGGGTCTTCGAAAAAAACCGATGTAATTACCGAGGCCACTTGGTAAACTCCCTTCCGAGCAAGACGGAAGGTCAGCGTTGACCTGGCTGGATTTTCCCCCTTGTTGCCAAACTTCGCTTCGCAACGACCATCATCGTCACCCCCGCTCCAAGGACATTTCGCGCTCCGGGCGCAATGGAAGGGGGTGATACGGGGTTGGTCAATTAGCATTTTTAAGAACCTCCCTTTGCATCCCTTCCTCAAATTTGGGAGAATTTGGAGAAGGGACAAGCCAATAAAGAGAGTGGAATCAGCAAGATTCAAACTACTATTAGTTCAGTATCAGTTAGAGACCATTAGTGCAATATCATTCAGAGACTATTAGCTCAGTATCAGTCAGAGACTATTAGCTCAGTATATCAGTTAGAGACCATTAGTGCAATATCATTCAGAGACTATTAGCTCAGTATCAGTCCGAGACTATTAGCTCAGTATCAGTCAGACTATTAGTTCAAGATCTGTCAGTTTCGAACATTAAGAGTTAACTAGTAGGATCTCGAATCAGCGAGATCCATTCATTAGCAGTCTCAACCACTAAAATCAGTCATCTGAACATTGTTAGTTAGTGTAAATTGAGAACGATAAACTCATTAGACGGCACCAAGTGCAATATTCGTAAGTACGCGGAAAGTGAGTGTCCAAGTGCTTAACAAAATGCTATAAAATTTGAACAAGTTACACATTGGTTAATTTTCTGATATTAATTGATAACTTGAAGTGTCTAGTTTGTATTAGTATGGCCGAGAAGCCATTAATTTACGTTGTAATAAAATTGGAAACAAAAGACTAAAAAAGGTCATTACCCCACTAGATAATTTCGGCCATCGTTTTTCTTTATAAAAGAGGTAAGAAAACTGTTAAATTAATAAAAAATTTTATTATTTTTTGTAGTTAGCAGTGATTTCACTTTTTTTGTTGTTACGGATTACGCTTTGTGTCCTTAAACGGAGCGGAATTTCAGTTAGTTAGATAGGAGGCCTGGAACATTCAACGCATGTGGTTACTACGTCGTTCTCCAATAGGTAGAAGGGTTGAGGACAGTGCGTATCGTAATGTTAGATATACTTCGAGCGGTAAAGGTATATCTTTGTGAGTTTAGCTTATTCGTTGCTAATGTTACCAAGAAGATGGTTATTGAATATAGGCAGATGTAATTCTACAATAACTATATTCTATTAATAATAATGTTTAAGTTTACAAAAGTTTTACAATGGTCTAAAGATAAAGTACACTGGTCGATTCTTGACTGGGCAAGAATCTTCCTTCTCGACTTGACACGGCGAGTGCGCAGGGGCGTCGTAGACAGGAATGTCTAGTTGACACTTACGAAATAAGTATTAAACTCGGTTGCTCGAAAGGGAGTTCAGCCCGATCTTGCTTGTGTCAAACGGCGATTATGAGAATACTGATCTACTTTAAAGTTCAGAGTGACACCAAAATCTGTATTTTTTGGTGGTGGGGCCCTAATTTTTCGTGGGAACGGAGTGCGTTCGTTTACCCTATCTCAAGGGCCTTCTAGGGGGGTGTGCGCTAGGCGGAAGTCTCAGCGCTGCCGCCGCGCCGTGTCGGCTAGTCTGCGTACGTAACATTGTTAACTGAATTTCTTGGTTTTCTTTCAATTTTTGTAGCAACATTAGAACCTAGAAATATTTTAATTTGGAAAACCATAACTTAAAATAATGTAAATATGATAACTACTGTAAATGTAATGTAAATATAAACTACCTTGTTTAATTCTTTGCAACGTTAAAAGCTGGCTGGAATTACCCGACACCTCATGTTCAGATATTTGAAGTAATACTCTGAATTGAATTTACATATAATAAAAAATCAAATGTGACTTTTAAAGTAGAAACATTCCTCTATTTAATGAAATTAATATTAATAATTTACGTTGATTCCAAGTGCTAATTTATCTTGCCTGAAAATTTGCCACTGTTACAAGGTTTCATTGCAAAATGAACATTCAGGTATTGTTTAAAATAAAAGGTGGCTATAGTCACAGAAATGATGAATATTAACTAGTTGCATCATTACCAAGTGGCAGTACCATACAAAGTCAAATCACGCGCTTTTTATTTCGAGATAGTAAAATGGCCGGAATTACCCCGCTTTCCCCTCCATGGTATTGAATTATTTAGTTAGTAGGACGACCAATGTAAATGGTCGTCACATTGAACCTTCTCTGTAGATAAAATCACTAGGTATACATTAACAAGAGAATCATAATTTTGTAGCCATACTGAAATTAAAATATCTCCTAAATTAATGATTTTTAAACATAAGTATGAGGTGGGTGAGGAACGTCGTTACACTGTGTTCACCCCAATTTATTAAAGTATACGTGTATGGTCGCATAGGCGTACAATTTGTCCAGAATATACAATCGTCTACGTTGTTGCTTGTCCCGGCGGCAGCGGTTCGGTGGGTACGTCACGATGGTCTGGGTTTTTATATTGTTAGGACAGGGAGACAGGAGTAGCGATAGATAAAGATAGAAGTGGAGAAAGTGGTGGAAACGGAAAATTCGTGGAAAGCGGGCCGTTCGTCCTCGTGCGAACCTGGATGCCACATGTGCGCTTCTTGGGCCACTCGAGGACGAAGGCAAGTCTTAACCCGGGGAGAGACAAAAGAACGGAAACTAAAATTTAAAGGAGTTGGAAAAGAGAAAGTTCGCGTGGAAGAATAGAACGAGGTTCGGTAAGGGTTTGTTGTCGACGACGTACCCGCCACAAGTAGGTTAACACTTTTTTGTAAGGAATATCAAGATGCATCAACTGATGCAATGATAAATATATGCTCCTATTTTAAAAAAACGTTAGTGACCTTCATATGTCCTCTACACGTCTACCTACAAAGAAATTATTAACATCAGAATGTGCCTCTCCTGAAACCATTCAATTCCATGTGAAACATTTTTCACTACGAATAATAACAATACGCATATTGAAGTGATAATATCTGGTGAACCACCCTTTATACGTCATACTTACTAGTACAAGCGATACCGGATGATTCAGAAGAATCTTGTTTATTTTGACGTGAATGAATGTTGTTCAAATGTTTTATTAATATAGTGGTTGATTTGCAAGCTTCAAACTGCTTGCAATATAAATGATATTGTGCAAGTGCGTCATTGGATTCCTTAAAGTATGCCCAAACCCACGATCGTTTTAACATTTCAGAAGCAATTACTGATGACTGATAATATGCAGTGTAAATTAACAAAATTGCTCTCACACGTTCAGCACGGTCACGGTTTGACCGATCTGTGAATTTAGATCCAACGTATGTATACTGTCACTCGCACAAAATGCTAACGCAGACTGTTGGAATAATGGAAAAGAGAATATAATAGAATGAATATAAATACAATAATAGAAAAGATAAGAAATAAATTGATATAATACACACTAACAATATGTTAATCCTAAAATTATATATTTGTATTCGATAAAATAACGAAGTTATAGCTCGTTTAGTGTGACACCACATCAAACGCCGGCGATAGGGAGAATGGAGTTTCGCAACAGTAAACCGCTTGGTACTCTGCACATACATGTGGAATTTATTTGGACTTGTGATTGAGGTTCGAAAAAGTGTCTTTAAAATCATCATAATAATAGTTTATTAACACAAGTAAAGAAATAAAATAGAAATCAAATGTCGACGTTAATTATAAACCATCCTCTCCTTTTTTGGCAGTAATTATATTTAATAATGGATTTTTGCCCATTCTTAAAGTATTATCAGTAATGGGGGTAACAATTGGTGAAGAAACTGAAATGTATGTGAACTGCTGTAACAAAACTCGCATCAATCTCTCGGAACTACGCATAAGTGACATCACTAAAAAAGCCAGAACTGATCAGAAAAAAGAAAGAACGGCTCAACATTTGTTTCAAGAAGAGGAAGGTCCTCTCTATGGTCCTGGACTAGCAAATTAATGATAAATAACATTATCCCTATGTGAATTGTACTTAAAACTTTAAACGCGCTTTTCTCGAAACCATGTTTTCTGAAATGATTGCCACGATATGGCAAAAACTACTGTACCAATCGAACTCAAATTTTGCAAATGTCTTCAGTATATATGTATATGGCTACGGTTGGTAGTAAAATTATACCAAAATATTGGGTTGTCCGGAAAGTTCGTGCCGATTTTGACAGAAGATTGAAACGCAACGCATTTAAGTTTTGGTATATATTTATTAAATTATATAAGTGCCATTTTGTTCCACAACCTTTCTCCATCTTTCAGGCAACTTGAAAATTCCGTCCTTCCAGAACTTTTCAGATTTTTCAGCGAAAAACTTTTCTATGTGATTTTTTATTTCGACCATCGAGTTGAAATTTTTTCCATTAAGGGAATTTTGCAAAGACCGGAATAGGTGGAAATCTGAGGGCGCGAGGTCTGGTGAATATGGCGGATGGGGTACAACATCCCAACCAAGCTCCAACAACTTTTGTCGCGTTGTTAAGGACACATGAGGCCGCGCATTGTCCTGGTGAAACATGACGCCCTTCCGATTCGCCATTTCTGGACGTTTTTGCTCAATTGCTACCCTTAAATCCTCTAATTGGGAGCAATATTTTTCAGAATTTATGGTTTCGTTGTTTGCCAGAAGGTCATAATAAAGGATCCGTTTCCAATTCCAGCAGACGCAGAGCATGACCTTCTTCGGATGAAGATCGGCTTTTGGGGTAGCTAATGATGGTTCATTCTGCTTTCCTCAAGACCGTTTTCGCTGAACATTGTTGTAAATTATACATTTTTCATCTCCCGTCACTAGTTGCTTCAAAAACGGTGTCTCCTCGTTTCGTTTATAGACAGAGTCGCAAATGGAAATGCGATCCATCAGGTTTTTCTCCGTTAAATCGTGCGGAACCCATACGTCAAACCGGTTTATGTAGCCAAGCTTTACAAAATGCTCGTGGATGGTCGATTTTGATATGTTTAACATTTCTCCTACTTTACACGTCGTATGATGTGGGTTATTCTCGATCATTGTTTTAATCTGATCTTCATCTCTGGTAGAAGGTCTACCCAGGCGTTCTTGATCTTCAAGACTGAAATCACCAGCTTTAAACCTAGCAGACCATTTCCGCACAGTTCTATCAGCTACAGCACCTTCGCCATAAACAGCGCATATCTTGTTTGTCGCTTGTGTGGCGTATTTGCCTTTCCGGTAAAAGAAAAGCATTAAATGCCTATAATGCACTTTGTTTGCTTCCATATTCAAAGGCGTATAAAACTGACAAAAATTAACGTACCGTAACTAAAATTTTTTCCACATATGTATGAAGTATCGTCTGATAGAAGTACCGTCGTTTGTTTTCAGTAATTCTAATATATTCAGACCTGTCTTTATGCCACCTACTGAAAATCGGCACGAACTTTCCGGACAACCCAATATATTTTTTTCTAATTTTTACAACCTCTGAAAGATGAAAAGAAATCGAAACTTCATATTCAAAGTCCCGCTATTTTTTTAATTTTCAATATTTTTCCTTTATTTTACTACTGACCATAGCCAGAGACATACTACATAAGAATAAATTGGATTTTTTAATTTCAGATAAGCAGAACGGCTCCAATCATGGCAACCATCGACGTATTTTTTTTTCATGTCCGTGTTTGACGTGTTCCACAGCAATTAAATTTAATTATTTTTCAACAAAGAAATTTGTAATCATTCTTCAAAGACAAGTAAATACATAAGAATAAAGCTCATGTTAATAACTGTTACTAAACTTCTATAATAAATTATATAACTTTTTAATAAAGCGTTAAACAACCTGTGTTTATATAACATGTTTTTCTTATTTAGACCCATAGAATATATCGACAAAATTTTGCATCTTAAACCTGGGACAATCTGTATAGTGTGTGTGATTTATCTGAGAACGTGTAAATATCTCGAAAAATACGGATGACACGAAAAAATATTTGACACAAAAACTGTAGGGTACCAAGGGGTACATATGTATGATACCTATATTTATTTGCCCTTGCGATGACCTTGAAAAGCTTTATGAAGGTCATGTTAAAATTTTTAAATAGAAAGCTATACTCTTCTTTACATATTCTTGTAGCCGACGTTAAAACGTTTTCAAAACACTACATACACGTGCATTTTGAACTTTAATTTAGACATAATTTTGAAATAAAACAAAAGAAAAAAGTTGAAAGTGTAAAGAATTTAACTAAGTAGAGAGTTCTGTTCTTGTAGTCGAATATTGTAATCCAATCTTTTTTATCACTTTTAAGGTTCCATCCAAAATTTAAGGCTGCCTACCATAACGTGGCAATAGATTTTAGGAACAAATACAGTACACTGTAATGATCCCATAATTTTTTAACTGTATTTGGACCACAGACAGTTCACATGAACATATAATATACAATAACATTCCACAGTTTATATGTAAATGATATAAATAGTATTTGATATATATTTTCGGATTAACCGGCCATTCGTTTATGTATTACTAGGGTGGATTGGAAAGTTCACGGCCTAAGTATGAAGGATTGCAGCTAAGTGCTTGTAATTTTTACCGAATAATATGTAATTAATTGTGTACTAATGTATACAGTTTAGTGTCTCTGTCGTCATTTTTCTCCCTTTTAGAGCTAGTGAAGTAGAGGTATTTGCAGTAGATGGAGTAGAGATTGCAGGAGATGGACAAAATTAGAAAACGAACAGCGATCCAATACCTGAAGACAAAGGACCTCACTTCAAAGATCATTCAAGGACCTTGCAAAAATTATTCCAAGTCCATGCGAAAATCATTCAAGGCCCTTGCGGTGATGTCCTTTGTCACCAGGTACTGGATCATTCCTCGCTTCTATTCGTCTCTTCTCCGTCGCTGTAAACACCCTTACTTCACCAGCTGTAATAGAGAACAAAAAACTGACAGACTTCGTACGTCGGTATACAAATGATCACAGATTACACCGTAAAAATTGCAAGCACCTAGCAGCAGTTCTTCCAACTTAGGCCGCAAACTTTTCAATCCACCTTTGTACTACTTAGTACTACTTTGAAGAACCAAAATAATATTAAATATTATTTCAACTTTTTATTATTCCTCACCAACACGACGTCTCACGTAGATTTTGCCATCCGATACAAAACAATTAAATTTACTTTCGACCGTAAATATAACTTTTGTCCAATTACAGTGGTCTTTAACGAACTGGAGTCTAGCACGTCGATTTTTTCAGGTATCAGTGATCTGTGTGGTGCAACTGTACCTATTAGGTTAAGTTTTTTTAAACGGCGTTGAACAAGTCGTATACTGATTTCACTGTGAAGATATGACAATATTTCACCGTGAATATTAACTGCAGTTTTAAAATGGTTGGCTTCAGGAAGCCGGCAAATCAAACGACCTGTTCGAATGTCTGCTTTATGGGGTTTGGACTTACGAGGAATATATTCTGAAGTATTATAATATTTATATGTTACATAGCTTTGTGACAAACTCCAACAGACATGCCCCATTGTTGTGAAACATTCCGATACGTTAGTCGATACGATATATTATTCCGATACACTATATTTTTCCCTTTACTCATCCCTTTACCTTTGAATTCAGTGTGTACAAACGTCTAATTGTAAGTATGCGGACAAACCAGCGAGAACTAACTGAGAGATCAAAAAATTGTAACAAATGAATGTTACAGAAGGATGTTAACAGTGTTCGCAAATACGTGCTTGCGACAATGTAATAAATGTAAGGCGAAACGTACTCTACAGCCTATAATATCAAAGTTATATGAATAATATAAAACAGAATTATGACGTATACCTCAGATATATGTATAAAAATATAATGAACTTAATTAGAAATATGTTTAATACCATAACAGAGATAATGAAAGTACAATCATTCGCATATTCGCCACTGTAAATATGTATTGTACTTACATACATAGTATATGTATATTATAGAATCATCGTATACTCGCCGCGTTTCTGATTTTCTGATTTCTGAGAATCCCACACTACCTCGCCTCTCCCCATTCCAGGAGAGACTTTGGAAGATTTCCCCCACGTAAAAAAAAAAAAAACAAGATATGCCCAAATTAAGTGTACTGACTTACTTAAACATGTGAAAGTACTTGGAAATGCATATAATGACCATTTAATGAATAAAGTATGTCAATTATACGAGTATGCCACTCTGTGTTCGAAAGGTTAGAAGATATCGGTTTATAATTTTTTTAAGTATGAACCACTTCTCAAAAAAATCTGAACATATTATACATTAATAACCGTAACAAGGTGCTAAAACTGTAGAAAAATGAACATGGTCACACGAAAAACTAAAATAATAATATAAACGAACATCGGTTTTTGATTTTTCTAGGTACCGTCCCCCACTTCGAAAAATCTGAAAAAATTACACATTAATATCCATAACAAGACACTAATACTGTAAAAATATAAACGTGGTCGTTTAGTAATTTCAATATAAAAACAACATTTATAAATTTTCCGAATTTTTTAAAAATCGATTTTGCAGTCAACAATTCTGAAAAAATTCACAGACATGGACGCCATTGGGTAGCACATCCATGATTATTTTCATAAGTTTTCATCGAGTAGAACAAGAGAAATGGAGCTTAAACTGTAAATTGCGTTTCACCCTGTAACTACCCTAGTGGTAGGAGTATCAGCTTGATACTTGGCAGAAAGGGTTTTCTTCGAGTGGTCTATCGAATGATATGCACCAAGATCAATTCGGTTTGGGGGCACTTTTACCATGCTTATTCGGCTAGGCCCTTTTAAAATGTGACACTAATATCAGACAGTCTCATATTGCTACCAATCAAGTGTCTCATAATGCTGCCAACTTGCCATTTTATATTGTATCATACCGCAATCAAAAGTACAATATACTTCAAATCTTCATTAATATTCTCAAACTACGATTATTATAAAAAATCACAAAATAAACCAAAGTAAAAACTTTCCGTTGCGGACGAAACGAAAAGCGTCCATTAAACAAAAAAACGGCAATGAACAACAATGCCTGTTATGGGAGGGCGTTATAGTCTTTATAATACTTCATTTCCAATCATTGGTGTCTCATATTCGTATCCTCTCCTCTGCTAACGTGCTCTTAGGACCATTTTAAAGGGAACAAAATGCTCTTTCTAAATATGTATGTACAAAAAATATTTATTATTATTAATATAAACAATTAATATTCAATGTTAAAAATTTAATTTCAGTTTTGCCGCTGTTCTACCTCTTAGACTTATTTGGAAAAAATACTGGCTAATTCCTGGAAGTTTCCTCCACAACATAAGCTTTTGAAAATGATGGAGCAATTTCAGGAACCTAGTGAAGTGATGGGTCACCAATGGATGAATGCGCGTTACTACTACAACTTGAGTAAGTACTTGTATAAAAAAACAAACTATTGAAGTTACCATTATCTTTCAATACATCTAAAACTTATATATGTATCTATAGAATACCGACAAATGCATTCCCTTAAATACAGAGTGGCATGTATAATTTCATAATATCTGTTTTCTAATTGCTATTGCAATTCGAACATTCTACAATTTTCCATCAATATTATGTTGGACGCTTAGTTTCTTTGCAATTAGTATCTGCAAGCAAATACATAAACGCAATAGGGTATTTCGCACACTAAATTAATCGGATTTATAAGGATATTGTGGATATTAATCAGACATAAAGATTGGAAACGTCTTTGATCTTTTTTCAGCGTCGCTAACCGCGCGACATCATTTAAACAGAAATACATATCAGCAGGACCTCTAAACATTTTTCTACAAAATTCGTCAGCCTAAAAAGTGGCAGCAAAGTGAGAAACGTTAAAAAAAAAAAGTCGCGCGTTCTATCTACTTATTTGTAAGTCAGTAGCCGTGAGTTCATCCTGTGGAACTTTGATGCAAATTTTGAAGTACTTACTACCGCTGCTCCACTTTAATAAAAAATAACATCCTCTTCCTGGAAGCTTGCATTGTTAAATTCGTACGCTAAAAACAGTGGAATAAAGTGAGAAACGTTTAAAAAAAAATGTCACGTGACGAAGTCACGACCACCGTCCCTACAAATTAATAGGTACAAAGCATGATTCCAAAATTTTCTCTCATATTTACCATTAAATGTGTCGAATTTGAAAAAAATCAGTAACCTAGTGAGAAAAAGTGCGCGATATGACGTGGAATGGCTCGTATACAGTGCGTCTA